AAGACTACCCCTACCGACCTTCGTTGGACTAGCATGGCGAGTTTTCGGGCAGGCGCATGTTTAGACAGTAAATCCAACGCTAGTCCTGCAAGAAGGAGAACGAGTTAGGCCATGTTGAAATTCAAATGGGTCCTCGGGTGAGGAATAGTAGAGCCATATTAGGGCAAAGGAACTTCGGTTCTTATAGGAAAACACAGTCGGAGGATGGGGTTATAATCCGACACAGTTATCAGTTGACACGAGTTCCAAATATTCAGTGGTAAATGACGGCTCTCTGAGGACATCCATCCTCGGACGGATGAAGAAGGAACAAGTTAAAATCTACCCCCATATGCTAGGCACATCGCGAACTCGTCCAAGTCGCATAGCAAGTAATAGGGTTTCGCGTTTTTGTCGGTTTTTCTTAGACTGTTTGGCAGGTCTTAAACACCAAATTAGGCAAAATTTCAAATGATAATTCCTAAATCAAACCAATGTGATCAAGACATAATGCTATTAAAGCAATTATAAAAGGGGTTGGTCATGAAAACAAACGGCCTAGGATAGAAGCGCCAAAAGCAAGCAAGTTGTGATGGCGTGTAGGTGAATCGTCTTAAAGATAACATAATGATCGCGGGACTCACGCAGTTTGTGCTCTTCCAACTCATTCCAACCCTCTGAGGTATCGGGAACCTTCTCATCATATCGAATAGGAATCGTTCCTTGGACCCAACAATAGTTCTCCACATAATCCAGGATATTTCTGCCACCCAACTCCGTGGGTACATAGCAGGAGATGGGCTTCAAGATGTACTGTTTGACCGTGACCACTGTTGTGCAGAGGAGTATCACCATGATAGTGACGAGGAAGTTAAATCTGTCTGCGAAATCCTCCACGCCAACATAGGTGGTTACCTGAAGCTTTGTGAGCTGCTCGAGGAACTCGGCTCCGAGCATGTTGTTTCGACGACTTCAACTGAGCAAGGATCGTATAAAAAGAGTGAATGTGGGATAGGTGATGTTCAGGAAATGATGAAAGGATGATATTAATATCTGGGAGTGGGTATTACACCCTATCCGGGTGGGAGCGACAGGTTGAGGTACCGCGGGTAAGTCACTTGGATAAGCTTGAGGACACAAGGCGAGTGGAGCGCCATCTCAAAACAGCAGACGGTCGACAAAACTAGAGGGCCATGTCCCAAAATAGGATTTGAGGGAATCACGAGCAGTAGAAGAAGACTCGCAACGTGCGAGACGAAGTGAATGCCGGCAACAGGAATTTGTGGCGCTCAGTCCGGACAAGTAATGATTGATTTTCGTTTACTGTGCGATTGGATGATCTTCTCTACCAATCACGTTCCAGAATGTCAGGCGCTCGTCTCTGCCTTGTTCGATTGTCCCATTTTGACGAAGTTGCCTAGCCCCCTTGGTCCGATCACATATTGGATCACCTTTGGGCCCATTCTTCAAAGCTTCCAATCATTCCTGTCAATGACGAAGGGTCACTTTTGGCTCCCTGCTCTGCAAGACACGAAGGTGTAGTGTGCTAAAGTTTGCTGAGTAGTCAGCTTAGCTTAACCAATTACCGTCCCAGTATCGTCTAGACATAAATGCGTTTAAGCATTCCTTGTGTTGATTGTAGAAGCTCTTTCTTCTATTGGCCCACCGCTACCCGGGCTAGTCTAGTCACATTGTGGGCAGGACCAGAGGTGTAGCCTAAGCTACGAGATCGGCCACCGGTGCTGAAATTCGTGCCATCAGGCCATTGGGTCAGGTGTTTCCCGTCCAGCGCGACAGTCCGTTGATTAGCTGATACGAGGGGTGCGAGGCTGTACCAAATGTTCGAGATGCATTATGATTCTGGACGAGCATGCTATTCGAAGACACAAAGACCAAGATGATGTGGTCTTTTGTGTTGTTGCAGTCTCCTTTCGTTGTACATAAGTTGTTTGACCTTGTTTTCGCAACTTGGTCACATTGGTAGGAAGACCGAGACGAACGCACATTGTCCGGAGTATGCATGATCATTTCCAAAGTCGGACCGTGGACGTGGTACATTCCCCGACGTTTCAATGGCATCGTCAGTGAGTCTCGTCACTCTTAGCACCACACAACTCGTCAAAGAGACACATGAAGCCTATCCTTTGACCAAACGTGTGCTAAACATTTGTGGTATGTCTCCCTCTGTCCTGGGCTATTCACCTCTCCTATATCGTCGTATCATGCCTTCACTATTACAATTCTTCCTTGTTTACTTAAATGTTGTTAGGGGGACCTTCATTTAGAATGAAAGTACATGAAGAAGAGATTCGTTTGTCGATCTCACCAGATG